TGAGTCTCGGGTTTGCCATCTTTTTCGCTCACTTTCCTCATGTCCCTCTAACAGAAGTACGATAAGCGAACCTTTTCCTAGGAACAAACGAAAGTGTTTGAGAAAGCTCGCTTGCTAGTTCATGTATGACAGACGGCTCATAATGGCCGCGGAGTAGGACTAGTAAATTGGTGCCAGTCCCCAGACTCTTCAGAAGGATAAGGTCCTTTGGAAATCAGGGGGGGGGGGGCGCACCCTGAAAGAGGCTTGAGCTTCAAGGTCGTGTTTAATTCTGTAAAAAAAAAAAGATTTTGTGGTGCCCTAGGCAAAGTAGGATTGCCAACTGGCCTAGAAAAGTGCACTGCCCCTTTAATAGAGGTTTAGTGGGATGCTATTTATCTCCATGCCATGAAAAGCTTCACTTGCACATTTCCACATGTAATGACCCTGTTAAAAGGGGAAGACATCTGGCAATCCTGCACCCAAGGCTACTCAAGGAGGATGCCCCCATCCTGTTATCCTAAGCATATTCAGAAGTAAATCCTATTGAATACAGTGGAACATTCCCCTCAGAAGTGTCCCCAATTGATTTATTTCTGTTATTTATAGTCCACCTTTCTTACTGGGTCTCAAGGCAGATTACACAGAGTAAGTCAATACAGTCAACAGGATGGAAACAGGATTTGGGTTGTAGAACCAACCAGAAATCTAAAAAACAGAATTGAAGCAAAGCATCAATGTTGACATATATAATGGTGCAAGAGTACATACAATTTACAGCAAACTATACATAGCAGTATACACCACAGTCCCCACTAATTTGTCCAAGTAACTTTGTGAATCATTTTGCCCATATCCCCTTGCCCATGTAGATACTTAGCAGTGAAGGAAAGACAATCTGTGGTCATTTAAAGGCTTTCTGTTTGTACATGTTTTAAACCTAAATGGACAGGTTTTCAGGAGCTGGAAAGCCCTGCTATCTTGCTACCTTGTTTGTTAAAACAGCTAAAAAATGGAACTAGAGAAAGAGGGTGTCCCCCCCCCTTTCTTCTCAGAGACCTTAAAGCAGCATCAGTTCCTTAGCTGTGATCCTTTATTTGTTTGTTTGTACCCTGCCCATCCTGTAAACAGGCTCAGTTCTTCAAGCCTATCTAGCAATCTTCATAGTTGGGTCTTGGGTGAGGTTTGAATCTAAGTTTACCCATGTTCACATACAACTTGTTAGCTACTGCACCACTGTGTTTCACTTATGTATTTACTCACTTTTCAACATAGTAGACAGCTTATAATTTAGGAGTACAAAGGGCACCATTTGTACAGCAGGATTTTATCAATTTTATTATAAACTAGATTATAATTTGTCTGTTACAATGAAGGAAATTCATGTTATTGTAAAGGATTATTCCTTACTCTGAATGTCACAAATCCTTAGTGTAGATTGAAAATCATAAAATTAATTTATTAGGTCACATGGTCAGAGCAGCAGTAGCCAGTCAGATGCTTCTTAGTAGTTTACAGACAGATCCTAATACAGTCCAGCAGTTTGTGTAAGCAAAAGTATACTGCCTCTTATCTTGGACTTTCCTTTCTTAGTTTTTATAGCTGTCACAGATGTAGCAGCATTCCATGAATTCTGACTAATGATCGAAGTGTGTATACTTTAAGATCCTGAAATAAACTTATTTTCCTGAAAAATGGTATTGACATTTTTGGCATTCTTCCAAGGATACTTAGTTAGGGCTTGTATAGAATGATGAGGCTACTGAAGAAATACAGCTTCCAGAGGCAGATAGTTCTGGCATTTGTCACATGATCTTTCAAATGATGCTGATTTTCTAAAAGTAGAATGTCTGTTTCTAATTTGGTTTAGTCAGATAATTTCTGTAATCGCATATTATCTTCAGAGCTCCTTAAGCATTGTTCCTGTGATTTATTATGCTTCAGTTGGTTTCTACGTGTATTTTAAGCTTGTTTGTGTATACTGCTAGTGATCTAGCATAGTGTAGTTTCTCACTAGTGGAACAATGCTGCTCCCATGCAGTGGAATATAACTGAATAGTTGTGTCTGAAAAGAGAATATCCTTCTTGTGGGGTGATTTTTTTTTTGCCATATCTAAATTCTCATGTTTGATATCCTTTGTCCACTGTCAACAGATTCTGGCTATCTGGCTATATACAAACAAGATGATGAATTGACAGACTTTTCAAAAAGGATTCTGTGAGTTGAGCAGTGACCCCTTGACCCATGTGGGTGAGATACTACTACATCTGCTTGCAGATGTGAGTATTATCTTACTGAAAGAGCGCTCAGGTTTCTCTAAAGATCTGTCATTGTAGCCAATGCTCCCTCTAAGCTGTGGAGTCTTGTGAGCAAAAGCTCTATTGTGTGAGCTACTGGCATTAAAGTTGTGAGCAAGTGATTCAGCTACTTCATAAATTAGTTTGCTCTGGAGCCATCCTTCCTGAGTTAAGACAAAAATGTGTGAGCTGGAGGCTAAAAAACTGTGAGCTAGCTCACACTTACTCAGCTTAGAGGAAACACTGATTGTAGCATATATTCTGCTCCAGAGTACTTGGAGAAACAGTGTTCCATTACCATGCTGCACTGCCTACTTGGAGAGACCTTCTTTATTCCCTGACATTTTTACATTTTGAAATCTTTAGATGTGGATGAAAAAGCTTCCTTGGAAGAGGAAAAACTAGAAATCTTCATGACTGTATTACTGCCTGAGTCCATCTAGCCAATTTAATTGAGACACTGGCAAACTGTCCATATTGGTGTTTGATATAGTGGTTAAGTGTGTGGACTCTAATCTGGGAGAACTGGGTTTGATTCCCCACTCCTCCACTTGCACCTGCTGGATGACCTTGGGCAAGCCATAGTTCTGGCACAGCTGTCCTTGAAAAAGAGCAGTTTCTGTCAGAGCCTTCTCAGCTCCACCTACCTCACAGGGTGTTTGTTGTGGGGAGGGGGAGGGGAAGGAGTTTGTAAGCCGCTCTGAGACTCCTTTGGGTAGTGAAGGGTGGGGTATTAATCCAATCTCCTCTTCTTCATATTTTGTTCCTATTCCAAGTGGTCTCTGGCTTGGCAGCAGCTCTGTAGATGGATTACAGAATGTTTCATTGAATTAATTTATTTCCTGCTGAGACCAAAATATTAATTATTGGAGAGAATCACATTCTAGAAATTTTCATAAATAATTTCACCTCAAATAGTAGGCTTTTAAACATGCATGCAGATATTTGGAAGTAGGACTACATAGGACCATTTCTCACCTTCCCCAGTGTTAGCCAAATTGCTCTATTTCTTAATAATAGTTTGGGGAATTATGATATTAATGAGCAATTGGCATAACTATAGGATCATGACCTGTGTACATGGGAGTTTGATTTCCCAGTCCCAGAAATAAACACAGAGACTGTTTAACTTAAATAATGATTTATTTACTAACTATTCCTCAAGCATACAAACAGTAATCAAGCATTCACACACACAATAAAGAACTAAGCAAGCAGAGGTGAATAATAGCAAATAAAGGGGTCAGTTATGGGGTGATACTATCTGTGCAGAGGTGCATGAAGAAGGGATTATGGCTCAGACCCAAAGGTTTGAGGGTGGACTGACAGTTGACATCAGGGCAGAGGCACACACTGAGGCCATGTGCTCTGATGGATATAGACATTGGAAAACAATGCAGGCCAATGGAAGGTCTTGGAGGCTGGTCTCGGGTGAGAACAATAGATTACCTGGGCCAATGATGAGTCCCAGGGGCGCATGACATCAGGATGGGCAAGGCCTAGATGTGACCAATGAGCTCTCAGAGAGGCAGAGTGGCTATGATGGGATTGACAATATCTTGATTGGATTAGCTAGGTACTGGGGCTAGTTGAATGGATTTTATGACCATTTATGGTTCTGATAGGCAGTTGAATAGGTTCCCAGATACAGATAAAAGATGGGAGATGGGTCCCTGATTAGTGTCAAGAAGATGGAGCAAGGAAGGACAAAGAATTCACACATAGACATGGGACTGCACAAAAGGGCTGGGTGAGGTTCTGGAGACAGGGCTAATCACCAGGTGGCCTCTGAATAGCCTTTAGAGATGTAGATACTTCACCTGGTGGAACCCATTGTTATTCCAGAAGCATATCTGTGCTGGCTGGAGGGGGAAGACTGGAGGCTTGCTCTAGGGTTGCCTTATGAAACCTGAAAATGGAGACCCCCTTTTTCAGAGCTGTGGCTAGCTCTATGTTTCAGAGCCAGGAGTTCCTTTATTGGCCTGAGTTTTGTGAGTCTCTGGGTCAGGTTAGAAGTGGGATACCCCTACTTTGGGGCTACCCAAGAGTAAAAGGCAGTGCCTCTGGGCAACACCAGTCAGGTATTCCATGCCTGACACTGGGAAGCAAGGGCACACACATTCATCCATTGTGCATATGAGGCAATATATGACGTGACTCCACTGCATCTATGTCAATTTGTGCAAGCCTTTCCATTCAAAAAAGGGGGTAATGGATTGTGCAGAGTATACCTATGTTTGTAGCGTTGTATGTGCACACTTCCTGTCTTGCGTTTTACCTGTTTACATACATAGAACCAGCTCTTCCCTCCGGTTTGCAGGATCCTTGACGGATTGTGTGAACTCGCACTCCATCAAAGTAGAGCCATTATGTTGTGATTTAGATTCACGTTGTTTTACATACTGATCATGTGAAACCATCAGTTTTCACAGAAACAAGCAGTAATGAGATAACATGGCTATTGTGGAAATTATTTGGTGAATGTGTCCCCAGAATGCCTTTTTAATAGTGCTGAATTGTGTTAATTTTCTTCCTTTGAAAACATACCTTCTGTATGTTATCTGTTTTGTATTCTAGAAGAGAAGAAGAAGCTGCTTCGGGAATTTGAAGAAAAACAAAAAGAAGCAAATGAAACAGTAAGATATAAATTTTCATTGGAGGAAAAGGATCACTGGTGGATATGAAACCTTTTAAATTCCATTTGTTGTAAACAAAAATTCTTTCTTGGGGGGGATGTCTTGCTTGGGGGGGGATGCCACTTTAAACATTTATTCTGTGTTTTCCCTTGTGTGTGCTTTCTCTCTCTCCTTTACTGCCTTTAATAATGTACCCTGCCAAACCAAAATGAGTCCAAGTGAAAGGTTAATGTTTTTGTCTTTTTTATGGCCCCCCGTAGGGGATTTTTTATTTGTATTTACTAAAAACCACAACGAAATTAGGGAGGGAATCTACACATTATAGGAGAAAGAAAAGAAAACCCACTAAAAACCCAAGGGTTGGAGGTCACATACAGCTTGTGAAAAATTTGCTTAACAATAATAAAGAGCTTTCTTTAACACTGAGAGTGATCAATCATCATCATAGCTTGTAAAAACATCCCAACAAATCTGACTATATGAAGAGTAGTCCAAGAGAATCGCTATTTAACTTAGACACAAATTACAGAGAACAATGGCATCTCATTTAACCATTAAAAGCAAATTAACAATAAGTCTCTCTCAGTAGATATTACACAGTCTCATTTTCTCTTCCATTGCTGTTTTCCTCTTTCTTCTTCCCTGTGACACCATCTTGCTATATCAAGAACTGGCCATCTCAAAACAAAGTCCCTTCTCCTTTTCCCAGGACTGTTCCGCTTAAATTTTTGCCTTCAATCATAGGGGTCGTTCCAATTTGCTTTTCACTGCCCGGCTTGAAGAGAGTCTCATCACCTTATTGCCCAGCAGACTTAATCAGGATATAAACATAGAGGATACTCCTTCGCTTTAAGCCTCGCTTATGGTCTGCATACAGACCCTTCGAATTGCAAATGCCCACTTGAGTCTCCTCTCCGATCCTGGAAGCCCCTATGATCATTGGTTAGACGCTTCTCCAATATTCACACAGTCCTTTTAAAAGCAACAGCTGACATGTAGCACAGTTCTTGCGTAGTACCTCATTTATACCAACAGAGGACAAAGGGTTAAGACACAGTTTGCAAGAGTCACATGGTTAACTGGCAGCTCTTCCACTTTCTGAAGAAAGCTTGGATAACGCTTGTTTTGTCTTTGAACAGCTGATTCCCATGCCATATCACAAACTATGAAGATAGTTCCAGGTGGTTACCCGTGTTGGTCTGAAGCAGTAGAACAAATATAGAGTCCAGTGGCACCTTTAAGACCAACAAAGGTTTATTCAAGGTATGAGCTTTTGTGTGCATATGCACTTTTTCAAATACACTGGAATCAATGCTCCCTCTAAGCTGTGGAGTCCTGCGAGCAAAATTTCTACTTTGTGAGCTACTAGCATTAAAGTTGGGAGCGAGTGATTTGTCTACTGCATAAATTAGTTTACTCTGGAGCCATCCTTTCTGAGCTAAGACAAAAATGTGTGAGCCGGAGGCTAAAAAAATGTGAGCTAACACACTCGAACTCAGCTTAGAGGGAACACTGACTGGAATGGAAGGTAGGAGTTCAAACTTACAGACAGACAGACAGACAGACAGACAGACAGAACAGCAAATTTACATGTAACATGATTAGCTTGTTATTTAGGGGTTTTTTTGCATAACTTAAAACATTTTCATCATGTTACATGTAAATTTGCTGTTCAATGTGTCTATGAGTTTGAACTCTACTTTCCATTCCAGTGTATTTGAAAAAGTGTGCATGCACATAAAAGCTCATACCTTGAATAAACCTTTGTTGGTCTTAAAGGTGCCACTGGACTCTAGGTTTGTTCTATATCACAAACTGTTTTTTGTTTGCTACGCAGCCTAGCTTCATGGCACCACTTTCATAAATCTTTGGCCCCAGGCCTTTATTTGTGCTATGTTAAAAGGGATTCTATGTTAAAACGGAGACTTTGTGCAGGAATTTCCACAAGATGGCAGTGAGGATTTAATTGTCACTAAGGCAGTAAATATGTGTCTGGGCTGCAGCGCAAGAGTGCATGGGTGTGTGTGTGTGGGGGGGGTCACATGACTGAATGCTCCCCCATTAAAAAAATTTTTCCTCCTCATGGAAAGCTAGATATTGAGGGGAATGGTTCTGGTATAGTCTTCTTCCTGACATGTTGGTTTTGTGCAAAGGATGCCTTTTATGAAGCATCATTCAGACATGTGAGCCCTCTTCTGCAGTCTGAAATAGAGCAGCCTGGACACCATTTTAGCACTTCAGTGCAAACTAGACCTAAGTTAACTCTTTGTTTGGGGAGAGTGCAAGTCTGGCAAAAAGTAAAATAGAATGAGCTAAGCAAGGAGGGAATATTAAGGAAATACTATGTAAATGAGATAACGTGTTATGGATCAAAATTACTAACTTTCAGACATCTTCTGATTCATCTAAGTATAGTACTGTGCTGTAAGATCTAACAGTTGTTGCAAATGCCTTTGACTCTGCTCCAGAATTTGCAGGTAGTGCAGAACACGGCAGCACAGGTGCTGACGGTGACACCTATGCAGGCTCTCATCCACCCAGTGCTGCATGAACTGCACTGGCTGCCTATCGAGTTCTGGATGTATTTCAAGGTGATGTTGCTTACCTTTAAGGCCCTATAGGGCCAGGGGCTAGCATACATTAGAGACCGCCTCTCCCCATATGAGCCCTGGAGGCCACTGAGGTCCACAAATCAACATCTTCTAGCATTCCCCAGTACCAGGAACGTCAGACTAGCTTTGACCAGGGCCAGGGCTTTTTTGGCCCTGGCCCCCACCTGGTGGAATGAGCTCCCAGTTGAGATCCAGGCCCTGCAGGATCTATTACAGTTCTGCGGGGCCTGCAAGACAGACTTCTTCCACCAGGCTTTTGGTAGAGGTGGCGGGTGTCCCTCTTCCTTCCTGGCTATCTCCCCTCCAGTGGCCTGGACCCCGATATTGGGACACTGCTGAATTTCAAATAAGTTGATTGACATCGGAACTAACTGTTGCACAGTATTTTAGGGTTTATCGTTTTAAATTGCTTTTCATGGTTGTTTTAGAAGAAGAAGAGATTGGATTTATACCCCACAGTTTTGTATAGCTACAATGACAGATCTTTAGCAAGGTCACATCAGCAGGTGCAAGTGGAGGAGTGGGGAATCAAACCCAGTTCTCCCAGATTAGAGTCCACGCACTTAACCACTACACCAAACTGGCTCTCTGTTTTATGTTATTATATTAAATGTTATTATATTAAATTTATTTATGTTATTATATTAAAAATTGTTGTAAACTGCCGTGACCCCGCTCGTGGGGACAGCAGTATATAAATCAAATAAATAAATAAATAGTACAGAAATTCTTTGTCTTTCTGAATGCCACTATTTTAATAGACTTCTTTGTGTCACCCTCTTCTCTGATGTATGCTTCCGTGTGTGTGAAACAAAAACCAAGATGATACATTTTCTTTATTTTGTAGTTGCTGTTTCAGTGTCCTCGTGCAAATTCCTTTCAACTGACAGGGGTTCTTTTCTTTCGTTTATTTCTATTTCTGTCCAGGAGTCTCCCTATTTTTTAGGATGGCAAAGACAACACTAGCTTGTTAAGTAGACTAGTACAAGATGTACAATCGTACAGCATGAGATATTCCTCGATAAAAGGTGTGGGTGAGGATAGTGTTTTCACAGCAGTGATATACTGCTTGGACAAATTGTCAAGCCAAGTCTAAGCATGGCCGTTATTCAGGTACACATGTAAACCAAGATTTTGATGTTTTATAACCTATTTAAGCTACGGGAAATGGAAGAAGAACTGAAATATGCTCCAGTGTCCTTCCGCAATCAAATGATGATCAAAATTCGAACCTACCGAAGAGACCTTGCAATGTTCCAGAGGAAAATTAGAAGTACAGATTTGGGAGTGGTCCCAGGAGGACCTGGAGATAAAAAATATGGTATCTTCTCTGAGGAAAATCAACAAAGTGTGAGTATTAGTTATACATTTACTATATACAATAATGTTTTAAAATATAGTTAGCAATTTTCTTTTGGTTCTTGCTAATTTTATGGTTGATTTTACTGGTTTGACTAGAGCAATTTTGTATAGGATTGCATTTCTAGACTTTTAAACATGACTGGGCTTTTTAGTCTAGATGCTGTACAGTTCCTTCAGTACTTCCACAATTCCTTCCCCATTGTCAACTATGAACCCTTTCTTTGGCCATGTGACAACAGCTGAATGAATGAATTTGAGCCAAGAGGCAGCCAACACATTTAACCATCTCTCACTGTTCAGGGCTTGTGCCTGGGTTCCTCTGCCCCCAAGGATATTATCTGGCACTATAGGGAAGTATGTGTGCACCAGCTACAAATGTAGATGGCTTGCGGAGGTGTGTGTGTGTGTGTGTGTGATTTTCTTGCAGTGGTAGAAGGCCTCTGTCATTGGAAGGGTACTCTGCATTCTTTCTTGAATTCCAGACGAGTTACACACCGTGAACACATGAAACTACCTTATACTTCATCAGACCCTTGGTGTATCAAGGTCAGCATTGTCTCCTCAGAGTGGCAGCAGCTCCCCAGGGTCTCAGGAAGAGGTCTTTCACATCACCTACTACCTGATCCTTATAATTGGAGATGCTGGGGCTTGAATCTGGGACTTTTTGCATGCCAAGCAGATGCTCTACCACTGAGCCACAGCACCTCCCCACTGTGACACTATGCCTCTTTTATTACTATGGTTAAATCCAGAGCTACTTATTACATCATAAAGTGTTCATTACAAGCAGGAAAGATAGGCAGAATTTAGAAGAAACAGATTTCATTTTCATGAAAATGCCCCCTGGGAACAGAGAGAGTGGGATCAAGGAAGGAGACTGACTATATTTTTCTCCCAAAACACAGTATGTATCACTATGGGTCAGTTCAGATGTGACACTAAACCATGTTTTTTCCTATAGTCAGTGTGTAGACTACCAATAGTTTGAATTCTATACTCCACCAAGTGGAACAAGTTCATGGATGCCATTTTTGCCACTTTCCCTATCCCAAGTCAACTAAAATTCTGCTCCTGAAGGTATGGGAACACTCAGGAACAAAGGGGAATGCAGCACTGAGGTCTACTCCCCAAAGGAGAAATATTGACTTATTTGCTTACTTATATGGACTCATTATGTGCTAGTAAAGGATCCCACCCACTATATATTTACTTAAATATATTTATATTTACTACCTAAGTTTGCATATAGATGGCAACATCAATATGTCAGTGCGAGTTCATGGTACAACCTACTTTGCCAATAAAACTGAGTGGATAGTTATTGAGGATTCCGAGTGGTAACGTGGCCCAGTAATAACTTGGCAAGGTGGTTTGTCCTACAAAGGGTCATCAGAGAGAATATTACAGCTCCTCCATTTTCCAAGGTATTTCGAGCTCAGTGAGCTCAATTATCTCCCAAGAGATAGGAGGGTTTTACTGCACATCAGGTACAGATGTGTGGTAAAATTATCAACTGTGTTCATCCCTGCAGGGCAACCGACTGATAAGGAACAATTGCACGTAAATCAGAGGGATATTTAGGTGCATTGAAGTAGGAACTTCAGTGTGTGGAGGCTGCCTTGGACTCCTTCATAAAAACTATGCCAACTGGAGTGACTGGACCAGATGTTTTTTATCAAAGTACACAGAATTCCTTCACAATACTTTAAATGAAATTTAATAATGTATCTGGCTTTTGATCATGATATCAAGGTGTAGCATCCAAGACTGCCCTTAGTTTTTAAGGTTAAAGTTCTCATCAAAGAAGGTAGGAACTGTTAAGCTTGGGTGTACTTGAATTTACAGAATGTTCACAGCTTATCAGAATGCTTCTGTCCCTGTTGTTAAATGTATCGTGGTCCTGTGGTGCTTTTGCCCAAACTAGCTGTGTCCTGCAGAAGTCCTTTAATGTAGCAGGCTGGTGACATAGAGAATATTCAGGAAACGGAAGGCATAATACACCTTGCTTTCTTTTGTACTGAATGAATTGTCTTCCAACCTCCCTTAAACCAGTGTGATGTAGGGGTTCTAGGGTTGAACTAGGATCTGGGAGACCAAGGTTTAAATCACCAGTCTGTTTTGGAAGCTCACTGGGTGACCTTGGGCCAGTCACTGTCTGTCAGCCTAACATACCTCACAGGATAGTTGTTTTAAGGATAAAATGGAAGAGGGGGAAATAATGCTATAAGCAGATTTGGGTTCCCACTGGGGAGAAAAGCTGGATATATAAATATCTGGTTATAAATAAACCTTGACTACCACGATACAAAGTGCTGAAAGTAGGGTATCAAACTGTGGTAGTACTGGTATATGCAGTTTTTGTTGGTATGGCTATGGGACAATGTATGTATTGTTGTTCATTGTCAGTTAATTGCTTGTTTTTTTAATCATAGAAATGTTTTGTATGAATGACTAAAGCCAGAAAATTCCACCAGCTGGAAAATGTCTCTGCCTTTTTTCTTCTAGTTCCTTTTTAAAATGGATTACAATCTTACTGGTGCAGATGTTTTGGTATTTTCTATCAGGAGTACTACATTCCTTAGCTATATGAAAGTTTACAAAAGCACACAGCAGACATCTGACATTCTGGAAAACTATCTGCTGTTCTGTAGTTTTCCACTGAGAAACTGTCAAAAGGTACATTTATATCAGTCTTTTAAGTATATCTTAATTGTCTTTAGACTCAATTACAGTCTCAGAGGGTGCTGCTGCTTCAGGGAACAGAAAGCTTGAATCGAGCCAGTCAAAGCATAGAGCATTCACATCAGATTGCTGCAGAGACAGATCAAATTGGTACCGATATCATTGAAGAACTTGGGGAACAACGGGAACAACTGGAACGCACCAAAAGCCGTGTGAGTGCAAACAATGCTACTGTAACACAGCTGTCAGGTCTCTTTGTGTTTGAAATAATTGGTCTGATGCTTGTGTTCATGTAAGTACATGTCATTTTAAGAAGCAGGAAGCGGAAGGGGGAGATTTTCAGAAAAAACTGAAATAGACCTGAACTTTTTACACTCCGGTTTCCTTTCAAGATAAAGGAACCAAAGTAAAAGGTGATTTTCTATATATTAGCAATGTATTGTTGCTTTGAGAATACCTCCCCAGCACTGCTCTGTTACATTTGAAAACATTGATCTATCCAGTTTAGCTCAGTGCTCTGACTACCAGCCGTTCTTTTAACTGAAGCTTTCTAGAGTCTGAGCTTGGGATCTTGCAGACCATGAGCTATACCACTGAGCTTTAGCCCCTTATTGTTTGAATTTCTGCCAACTATCACGCAAACATTTTGTGGAACCTTCTTTATTCTCTAGATCTAATATAAAACAAAAGAGATGAAACTTAGAAGCTTGGTCAATATTTTGTATTGTCCCACACTTGAGAGGTGTCTCATTCTGGGACCTAGGGATTGTATGTGCTAGATTCATCATGTGATACACCTCATTCTGCTAAATTATTCTGCACAACTTTTGTTTACATTCTAGTCCCTTTTGTGCCTCAAAAGATTGTGATCATTTTTCTTCACATTAGATTCATAGTTTTTGTTTTTTGTAGACTTTAAAGGTCATCTACCTATTCTGATTTTCAGTCCAGAAAAAGGTGGGTCAGATCCTACCATTCATGAGCATAGAGTTTGGGGTGATGAACCTTTCACAGAAGTCCCATGTGACCTTTGAAGAACAAGAAAAATGAATTCACTCTCCTTCCTTTGCTAATACAGTCATGAGAGAGCATCCCATTCCCCTCCTTACTGCGGTCACTCCTTAATGCAGTCACTACTCATTCTGCATGGTAGTTTTTTCCTGGAGGGTTTCCTAATCCTCATCATTAGGTTTTTAGGTATCATGGGGCAAGGAGAAAGTGAGGAGGACCTGCCTCTGCAAACTTGTTATGCTCCCAGAGGATAGGATCCAGCCTATTAGATTTAAAATGCTGACAAGCCAGGCTGTTCTGTTCCTGTGCTGGTAGAGGAATGGGACTCTGCATGTGCTGCAGATCTGAGGAAAAAAGCAGTTTGTGGTTATTGAAGACAACTCATTGTGGGGGAAAACACATTCTAATCTCTTATGGCTGGTGAAGATATGCTTGGAAGTGTAAGGACAGAAGCCAGTGAATGTGGATGGGATGGAGGCTTCAGTGATGTTCGTGTCTTTGTCGCTGGCCAAATCAATTTAATTTATGCAAATTGAGCAAAATTGCATAATTTATACAGGGCCCCGGTCACACGGGCTGGATATTGCGGGGGGAGGCGTGGCTAATTGCCCCGGCGCAGTTTGATTTGCAATTACATGATCAGACGCGCTGGCGGCACACCACGGGTCCTTCCCTCGGCACCAGCGGGTAAACGAGGGACCGGAGGGGAATGCCGTGTGCCGGCGCGATCACACCACGGGCGTCTGGAGGCAGCCCGTGGCAAACGTTTACTAGTACCTTGGAGGTACTAGTTTTAAAATGCGCATTGTCGGCGGTAAGCCACGGGTGCGCTCCACTTCCCAGATGTTGGGTTGTGATCATGCCCGGATAATCCGCCCACCTTCCATGCCTCTCCCGCAGCAACTTTGCCGTGTGACCGGGGCCCAGGTTGCAGAATGGAGCTTGTCTTAGGATTTGAATTGTTTGGGCACAGAATGTTAATATTTTAGCATCGGATACACAGAGACCTGATTAAGGATGTCTAACTGCGCTTAAGACATATTATCTTGTATGAACACAGAAGCAGTATAGAAATTAAGACCAAATGCTAATTGATACTTCTACATGGGAGTTCTGTTTTTCCCTTTATAATGTGCAGGTTGTTTAAGACTAGCGTGTTGTTTGCATCTTAAGAATGTAAAGTGCAGCCTTGTTCCTAGTTGCCTGTGCTTCAGCCTCACTGTTGACCTATTTGCTTAATTTGTCACGCTTTCACTAGTGTGTTAACATGCATCTCAAAACCCAGAGTCATGTTCTATTCCCTTGACAAGCATTTTGAATCTAACATGCAGGTCTTTCTTTTTAGCTAGTAAATACAAATGAGAACTTAAGCAAAAGCCAGAAGATACTACGTTCCATGTCCAGAAGGTTAGTAAGAATAGTTATTTTTGGTCTTTGATCAGAATCTCTAAATAACAAAGCATCTAGGAAATTACATAGTAATTATGGTATGGGAAGCAATATTGAAGGAGTATAGAACAAATTGTTATACTGGACAAGGAAACAGTATACCTTTGTTCATATTACAATCTTATTAATGCGTATATCTTCAAATAATCAGTATTTCAGATAAATATTTTCAGTTTATATGCCAGTTCTGGCATTTTTAATTAATTTATATCCTGCCTTTCCTCGTGATTCAAGGCAGATTCTGCTGATTTTATCTAATGTGGACTAAATAATGTTATGGAATATCCAATTCCAACAACCTTTATTGGCATAACAATAGCTTTAAAGAAAAAATAACAGTACAAGTCAGCCCATATGCCAACAAACAGAAACCATCAAAGTATAGCGATTTTGGCAGTGGCTTTATGCCTGGTTAGATACTAAACAAATGTGTAGCCCCCTCAAGGAATTTGGGTTTGCCTGTGTTACTGTTGTTTTATTCTTACAATAAACCTGTGAGGTAATTAGGTTGAGACAGAGAACTGGATTCAGACTTCCACAAACAAGTTTGCTGAAAGGGCACTTCCCTTTCCACAGCGGCTCCCTGTGCTCCCAGGAAAGCCACAAGCTGAGGTTTGAGAGACCTTCCCGAACAACATGCCACATGGCATGGATATCTAGAGTAAGAAAAGGGGGTATTGAGTAAAATCTCCCCTCCCACACACAATGCATACACATTCTTGCAATGTGGCATAAGCTCCATGAGTGGAGAAAAATCTTGTGCAGGAACAAGAGAGTACAGTTGGTACAGCCCCCATTTTGTTACATGGATTTCCTGGGTCAGATTACAGATGTCCAGGGCAGTACACGTGTACAAGGGTTCTTTATACTCTGTGTATATAAGGGTCAAATTGCGAGAGATATCAGTGGAAGGAAGAGACCTTTTGATTGAACAAATGGGATTGTAAAGAAATGCACAGCTCACACTACTCACTCATGCAAAAATAACAACAGATCAACGCACAGAGAGCTAAGAAACAGAAAGGTGATTGATAGTGAAAAGAAGGTTGGTTTTAGATAGGGCAATATTCATCTCGATAGTGAAAAGAAGGGGGTTGGTTTTAGATAGGGCAATATTCATCAGATCCTGGAGTCTGGAATCCATGTGGCAGGAGGAGGACATGGCCAACCAGTGGTTCATGTCCAAGGCTCAGACAGTCTTGAGGGTACATGCTTATGGGCGCCTCAAGAGCTGTACAAAGGTTGAGGTGCAGAGTGCCAGTTTAAATATTTTGGGGGCAAGCCAGGGGTGGGGGCTGGCCCAGGGTGTAATGAGTAGCCCAATTAAGTTGGTATATGCAGGATGCTTGCTTTACACTTACGAGGTTGGGATAGTCACCAGTATTTGCGTTTCTATGTGTCAGTGGCTCATTGTGGAATGGGGAACAGTGCTAGACCCTCAAAATTACTTTGAAGGAGACAGGGCATTTTACTAAGGTGATGCCTGGGTCAGGGAAGATGGGATTAGTATGGCTAGGCTGGCTATTTCTGTTGATTGTATGTCATGTGCTCCTGTTTGGCTCGGTTCCCCCTGAGCCTGTCAGGCTGGTTCAAAATGGGGTCTTTTCTGGCTCTGTGTTGCCTGCCTGTGACAGACTTAATGTGAGGTGTGGGACCCTGGTGTTGCTGCTTTTCTGGCTGCCGGGTCCCTCTGAGGTTTTTGGTGAGAGCAAGTTTAATGCAGGTATATCAGGGGAGGTAATATTGCCATGTGGATCCCCTAAACTTCAACAGCAACTTTACAGGGAGATGTCCGTGATGGTGCCACTTCTGCAAACTCCTTCTTTTCATGATAGTTTGGATCCAGGCCCCAGAGCTGTTTACTGAGCTACATTTTGCTTGCTAATGTATTTGGTTTTGGACATGCTATATAACACATGAAAGCTTCAAAAGTATCCACCAATCATGTTAATTTTATCTGTGAGCATTTTTTTCTTGTAGCTTATTTGTCCAGTTTTTCCTGTTTAATTTAACCAAAATGCTTTCAAATTGGCTTGTTTTCTCACACCAATTGAAATTAATACAACCATTTAAAATTAGTTTGCAGCAAGAGCATTTTAAGTGCTTAATCAATTAAATAGGCATTACTAAGCAAGGTATACATTTTCAGATACATTAATAAATGTTAACAGCTCATGATATTGAAGTAAGGTTCTGTTACAGCCCAAAATGCCCCCTGAAATGTTGGTTCAAGGGTTACAGGGGATCCTGCTGGGAACAGCATGAAAATTGGCCCCCACCAGCAGCAGTCCTCTGCTGGATCCAACCCATAATCCCCTGAAATAATAACAAAGTGTGCCTTTAAGCATGCAGCATAACCAATTTAAAGTTGACTCCCACTGATTCATAACTAACATTTTAGTTCATTAATTTACCAATGAAATATTACAGCTAGAATTAAAACTTTTATAAAATTGGGGAAGGATGTAGTGTTGAGAGAATATGTTGGCTTTTATGGAGGATTGCCCACAAAAAGAGTTTGAGAGCAATGATTACAAATTAAGGTGTTAAGAGGCTGGGGTATAAATTCAATAAATAAATAAATAAAAATATAGTGGGTAAAGTTTCTTCGTAAGTGAAAGCACATGCTAAGCAAACAAAAGGCAATGTTCTGAAAAAACGACTTCTATTTTATATAGGAAAATACCAAAGGGATGGGTTACCCCTGTGAAAAATAAGTAAAATAAAATTTGTTTTTTCAGAACCAGTGATTAATTAGATCTTAAATTCCAAAGAGGTAGTTTGTCTGTAACTAAACAGAGGTTAGTGACACATTAGATTAACACACTTTCATGAACTTGAATCCCCTTTATGAATATGAGTAAATAATGCACATTGACTCAGACATAACGTGAAAACCCTTTATTTAAGTTATTTCTGGACTGTCTCTCCAGAGGGCTGTTCAAGGCAGCTTATAGCAGATTTAAACAACAAAAATAACCTATCTACAAAACAAACGGAGTCTAAAACCAGCATAAAGAAAAACAGAACAACCCAAGAGCAGCAAAAACATAAGGCCAAACAACCTGCATAAAATCTACAAAATGGCCAGAGGAGAAAACTCAGCTAAAAATCCATGGTTTCTTCTGACTATGGTTTGTCTGCAGGTCAAACTTTGGTTTCACAGTAATTCAAATCATGCCTGTTGCATCTGTAAGGGAGACTGCTAGTGCAGTGGTTCCCAGCCTGGAGACTGGTGAACAAACCAGGATGCCCTTGTTGGGATGATATACAAAACCAGTGTTTAGGGCTAGCTGTCATTAGTAAACCAATTTTAAACCATCATTTCAGACCTTGGTTTAAATAACGATAGTTAGTGGTCCAAATTACACTAAGCATAATTTAACACAGCATCTAAACTGAGCCAGTATGTTTATATTCTTATACAATATTCTGAAAGTTTTATATTAGCCTTTTTTATTCTACTTTTTCTTTGAGTTCCTTGCAGATCAGTTTCTCACATTTTTACTAGTTCCTAGTTTTTTGCAAAGAATACTGTGACAAATTTTGTAAATTTCAGTAGCTTCTTCCCTTTGTTTCTTTGGTCAGCTTAATTGACTTTCCTTTTCTGTTGTGCAGATTCTCTGGTTACTTTTTAAAAAATTAAAGTTAACACATAACAATACTTTATTTGAAGCATGTGGGATTTGACTCTGTCATCTCAGCTTAGTGAGACTGCCTCCATCCCAGTAAATGTTGAATGGATTTATTTTTACAGATAGACACCTTAATGTCTCATTTCTCCTTTTAGACTTATGACAAACAAACTGCTGCTCTCCATCATTATCATTCTGGAACTAGCCATCCTGGCGGGCATTGTTTACTACAAGTTCTTCAGCTGAACTTTCCAGACAGCTTTCTGCCTTGATGCCTTCATCACCTCAAGGACTAGATACAGACATTGCCAAGAAGGAACTCTTTAGCACAGGCTGAAAAGGGTGGATTATGCATTACAGCTGAAAGACTATACATGTGCCGTCAGAGTCTAGGCAACATGTTTATCAGACAATAGTGCATTACTATTGGAAGGAAGCATGGCTAGGAAGAAAGACAGGGTGCAATAAAGTGTTGGTAAGACTGTATAATTGCAACATAAAGTAATAAATATTTCTAAGATGACAGTGTGGTTGTCTAAGTCTTAATACAGCAGTTTAGTAGTACAATGAAAAAAAATTAACTGTTCTGTACAAAACCAGAATGCAGTACTGTCAGTGGGAGACCTGTCCCATTTGTGTAGCTCAGTAGAGCTGTATAATGCCCAGTATGAAGCACATGCCTACACATCGCTGTCCTAAATCCGCACTTGCTCTTCACTGTCAGATTCATCTGGAGAACTGGGTGATGGGAGTTCTTCAAAAACTATGTGTGCGCCTTCTCGTGTCTGTCCAAAACATGTAGCAACCACATCTACTGCAAGATTAACTGTTGCACTCACTTCTTCCTGTGACGCTCCAAGCAATGGATTTACTTCTACGATGTCCATAACAGAAAGTAGCCCTGAGGAATTGCCAAGAGGAAGGAACAGAGAAATTTAAAAGCACCCACCAAAAGACAGAGTGTCAAGTCCTACACATAAGACAAGTTCGTGTGAAATCCAACTTTCTAGTCATCTAATGACTGACAAATTCAGGCAGCTTTTTCAAAATCTCCCTGTTATGTTATCAGGGTCCCCTTCACAGATGTGTTCTGTCTCTGCTCTGACTCCATCTTGGCTTTGGCAGCCATTTTAAGAGCCAGCAATGCCACACTTCAGAGAAGGTGAGGTCAAGGCTCTCCTCAGGCTATGGCAATGAGTGGCTAAAACTCAGTGGGAAACTGATTCACTGATGCTACATCTGCATGCCTACCCATTGCCATGGGAGATTGCACAAGCAGGCAGCCACCTAGATCTATCAGTGTCCTCTCATTAGTAAGGGCAAATCTTCCTTAGTACAAAATCAAATTACAATCAAGCAGCCAGGTGGGCTTGATTGCTTTTCTTAGATTATAGTATTTTTATTTATATGCCAATAAAAGGCTTTGGATTGATTGGCTTTTACTGACCTTGCACAAATGTCTCTTACCAACCCACCACAAGCATGGGTGAAACCTCCTTCCTGCCAGCCCTTATGTTCACTCTGCCTAAATGCAATCACTTTTTGTTACCTTTCTGGGAAGCCCACCTTCCTAACTCAAAGTCAGGAAACTCAGATTCTCATCCTGGACTCAATCTGAATTTTTGGAGTGTACAATTATTTTTTGATATTCTTTTGTGCTGGCTCCTATAACTACAGCTGTTCTTCTAGCCAAAATTGTGGAGTCTCACCCCTCTGCTGGCTCAGAGGCTGCCCATTCTGCTCTTCTAGAATCAGCATAACTTCCTATTTCTCTGGGACATTAGAGAGTCAACATGGAACATTGATAAGTCGTAACGGATAAGAATTTTGATTGCTACACACTCAGATAAAGCAATTATTGTGAAAGAATTTTGATTGCTACACGCTCAGATAGTGTAGGCGATAATAGAAGAGAATTTTCTACAGAATTATTACAGTTAATGATTTTGCAACATAACTTTATTGATTCTTCGTTATTTTTGTCACAGATGTTGTTTTTGGATTTCCTGTTTCCCAAGCTAGGCAGACGGTGGAAGTGGGAAGAGGTCCCTGTACCTCCAATGCTGAGCTTAAATCCTCCAAACTAGTTTTAAATTTTATTTTATTTTCAAAACAAACATAACATTATCTGTAACATAAACATGATCTTCCAGTGACAGTGGACTGCCTATGGCTTCATAACATCACAAATACCCTCTTAACCCTCCTACATAAATCATTCTCCAGCCAGACCAGTTACACACAAAGTCAGTACATATAAGGTACAGCCTCTGTTGAAACGCATGCATGGTGAATAGGTACAAATCTGTATATGTCTGGCAGAAAAGGCCATAGGTCTAAGCCAGTTTTGCGAGAGGGCCTAAGAAAGTGCAAGAGTTCCACATGCTTGATGCTCCATTGTGTTAATTTGGGAGCAATAAGGCTGACCTCCAGAACTGGGCAATCATGCCAAAAGAGCACATGGCAATGCCCCTTTTATGAAATGGAAGCTTAAACATCAAGATGACACGGATTATTTAACACCAGTCGCAATTAGTTAATGAAGTACATTTCTCAACACTTTATCCATTTGCATTATTTGTTCTGTTGACTTAAGCTCCAAACTAGTTCTGACTCTGGGCAAGTGTCCCATATCCAAGTCAGAGACCCTACCTGTGTCAATATATGTGAAAGGGAACACATGTAGCAACAATTAAACCTAACTTTGTATTGCATCATAAACAACTACTTGCAGTCAGTCTTGCTTCAAAACTTTTTCAACTGGCATACAATACTAGGTAAAAGCAAGTAGACAAAGGTAGGTAGTTACTACATATCTTATGTATTCTGCTAGCCCCACCAACTGCACTTTGATATATATCAAACAGTCAAGGAGGAAGGTGAGAGTCTTTAGCTGTTTATCTTTTGTTTCTAGAAAAACTTCCAAAAATTACCAGTTGCAAAAAGTTATTTGCAAAAGTGTAAATAGTAAAACACTTGCTATGATTTAATAATGTACAGCTAATAGTTCAATTTTAAAAAGCTTATGATAGACCTTTAGTTGTAAGAATTTGGGCAACTTTTAGGATCCATGGTTTCTGCCGTGTCTGAGAACTTAAAATATCATTCCCTTCCAAACAAAACCTCTGTCACTGTGTCTAGTCCAACTTATTATTTTTTTAATTGCCTTGTTGTTGTTGTTTTTTGGGGGGGAACAAGTTTCTGTCTGAAGTGCATCCAAACATACTGACTTAAACTCATCTGACTGGTTTTGCAAGGTGACTGCCACGCAAACATACCTTTTATTTTTTGTTTCATGCCACCTGAAACTAAAAGTAAAATTTGCTTGGCTTGTTCTTACCTGTATTATGTACTTCCTCTGAAATATACATGCCTTCACGATATGTTAGACCCCCCTTGACAGGAGTCCCTGTTGCTGGAGCCAAGGCTGGGTCAAACGCATCAATGTCGACACTGAGATGGATTGGCCTTTGCTGTCTGCAGGAAGAGAATCAAACTTTATTCTGTCTGGCTGGCTCATGGCATAAGCAGCCTGTTCTTGGGAACAAAGGACTGTAGTAGGATATGACAAGTAAATAATATTACCAAGTGAAAACAAAATTCCTTATCAGAGCTTTCTTACCATTCATCTCTAAAATGTATTACCTGCTCAAAAGGTGTTCAAACGTTCTTTCCATCACTTTCTGGATCCCAAAACGATCAATGTCACGCATTGAAAAATACTGGATGTCGTAGTTCTTCAAAATATAGCTGTTTTAAAGAAAACCATTTAATGATATTATTGTATACTGTTCTTTACAGTACAGCTTTACAAAAGCCCATAGCCTGTGAATGCAGCAGTAACCCAAGCCAAGTGCTTTTGAAAGAAACCATAATTAAGAGTTCTCCAAACCCAGCTAGCTTTTACTTACTGTTCTGCAGGATCCACATCTCTCAGGCCAATATAAACAATATCTGATCGTGAAAGGCAGGGCTTCAGCCAGGAAAATCCAGGAAGTAGTGGCACCTATGAACAAAAAGAACAGGGCCCTGAAAGAGCTGCATGAAAAAAATGTTTTACGGCTTGCATGTAATATGAATAAAGAAATATTAGGTGTATGGCCATGTAACTACCTTCCTATTCCCTCAAGAGTAATTTTAAGACCCAGAACAAAGAGGCCTCAAAAGTAGAAACTACTTGGTAGTTGCAGATAAGTGAGTAAGCAGATAAGAGAGCCAGTTTGGTGTAGTGGTTAAGTGCGCGGACTCTAATCTGGGAGAACTGGGTTTGATTCCCCACTCCTCCTCTTGTACCTGCTGGATGACCTTGGGCAAGCCATAGTTCTGGCACAGCTGTCCTTGAAAAAGAGCAGTTTCTGTCAGAGCTCTCTCAGCCCCACCTACCTCACCGGGTGTCTGTTGTGGGGAGGGGAAGGGGAAGGAGTTTGTAAGCCGCTCTGAGACTCCCTTGGGTAGTGAAGAGTGGGGTATAAATCCAATCTCTTCTTCTACTTCTACCTTGAGCACCTCGTCAATAGCTCCTTCAGACAGTCCATTTCGTAAACATTCTCTTCTATATAGTAAAGGTAAGCCACCACACTTTGTATGACACATAGAAAACATACGCTAAAATGCTAGTGTCCGCATACTGTGTAGCACTCTTAGTGTTACTTTGAGGGCAAGATCTGGAGGGACTTGGAAAATGAATGATGCTGCCATTATATAAACTTCTTGGACAGACAGAGGCAAGGACTGTTTATTAAACGGAAAACATGTTCACACATAATCCTGCTTCTGACAAGGGAAACTGCCTGCCAAAATAGGTTCAGATTAAATCAAGCCAAAACTTTCAGTGAACTTTTAGCTACTGCGAATAACAGTCAATCGGTAGCCTACTCACTAAGAGGGGGAAGGTATCAAACTGATATTCTGCTCTCTGGAAAAGATCATATATCACAGCTGGCCAAACCACTGGTCTGAAATTAAGATTAGAGGAAAAGCCACACAATTTGCAAGCCTGTTAACAAACTATAAAGATACTAAGTAGGAAAAGCTTATGTATAAATTATGCTGAACAGATACTCATGTGGATCTGGTTTGTGTACAAAACCTTCAGCCCTGGGCCTTGTGTAATGAACACTCAGTTTCAATTTTGCTTTCAGGAATCAAATCACAATTCATATTACTAGGAGTGCCAATATTGTCTGGTGAGTTAGATATACTGTAACACCCACACTCATTCTAATGTAGCTGCAACAGCCAGGTATACATGGCTTTTCAGGTGGTTATTACTGTTAATGTCAATTTTAAAGCAACTAGCTGTCATCAGCCAGAAGCTGCCAAGCAGGCTAAAGCAGAGTCACATTTGAACATTTCATAAGTTGTAGCATGCAACTATAACAGCCCCTGGCAAGCCCCTCCCCCAACTGATGAAACAGAAAATGTGTCAGTTGTAAGTCAGTGACGGAGAGGAAGCAGCACAACAGCTAGGCTGATTGTTGTACATTCCTACAAGTTCCCACAAAGGGAGGTTCTTTTGCTTGCATGCTAGAATAGCTGCTTTCCAACTAGCTTGAGGATACCTGC